TTTTGTTTCTTGTGTAAACGTAAATCAATTTGTAAATGAAAAATAAAGGTAAAAATGCATGGTCTAAGAGGCAGCACAGTCTGTTCAGACAGAATCATTTTGTTAGCGAGCTGTGTCTAAAGCCAGAAAGGTCTGATTGTGCAGCTCCAAGGTGGAAGAAGAAACATCTCTGACTGGTTTGTCTGTAGTGTGCGCTCGGGTCAGAGGAGTTGGATTAAAGCAGATAACCTCCCTGCTAAACCCTGACGAAGTGCAAACTAACAAACCAGTCAGGCACAAGAGTGTGAGCACTGAGTGAAATGTTCATGCTTATGTCAACAGATTCAGTCTGATGTGTTTGGAAAGTTCTTCACAAAGTTCTATGCATTTGAAAAAACTTGACCATTAAATGGGCTTGTTAAAAACATGTTTACATATAGTATGATACTGTATGTGTTGCCATTTCTCTGTTTGCCATTGCCCTTTGTATATCCTTTGCAAATAGGCTGTTAACGGGAGCCAGGGGGGTTCTGACTGCCCTCAACCCCATATTCCCAGTTAGCTCTTTGTGCACTGCTTCTCTTTTGTTAACTGATCAGCTTCCCGTTGGGTCACCAGACAAGATTCTTGGCATTTGTCGGTAAAATGAAAGGAGGATTAAGGGATGGCTACTGAACACTCCATGGCAAAGGAGTGGGCTGCTATTCTCCTATTCAAAAGCATCTCCCAGTTCAGGAGCTCTCCTTTATATATATTTGTTTTCTCATAGACATCAATGAAAAGTTCAACATGCTACAAGAAATAAAAGAAAATCAACAAGTAGGTCAGGCCTGACAAAGATGCTAATGGTGTTAATAATAATTATAATAATTATTTTTTCCTTTTCTTCAGGTAAAACTGGGATTTAATTCAACATCATCATTAACGAGCATTCAGCAGAACTGATATAATCATAGCATGTTATTTTTCTGTTTCTGCCCAAATTGAATGATTTACAGCAAGCTGTGAAAAACATAATTAGTTACTGAGGTTTTTGCTTTGTTTATGACAAATTCGGTTCAGTGTTATCCTTTGAAAATTTTACCCATGACTTTGCATTCATTTGCTAAATCATAACACATCTCAATATTAGAAGAAATTCTTATGAAATGTCATGATTCATGCATTTTAATGTATGTATAACATTATTTTACATGCATTTTTAAAAAACATGGGAACCTTAAAATGTTGTTTTCATGTGAGATTACATTTCATGTGAACTATCTAACATCATACTGTATGTGCACATGCTGTGAAATGTTCATATGTGAAATGGTGCAAACATCTGATAAATACATGGAATGTGTTACCTGTCAAACTTTTATGTGCATTTTTGGAACAGATTATTAGAGAGGCTGAATCCTACTTTAACCTAAAACCTTGATGGTCATATTAGTCATATCATTGTTGAATTATCCATATATTCTGCTAAAATTATTCTAAAATTTATTTTGTTATGTCCATTCTCTATTGCTTTTTTTTTTTTTCTTTTTTAAAACTGTTCCTCTGTGCCGCTACAGTGACCCACTTTCCCCGCAGGGAATCTGAGTGTGATCTTCTAATGCTAACCATTTTTTGTCTGTCAGCCTGATCCAACCATGAACCTCTGGATTTTTCATAAGCAGAGGGAGCCAGGGGGAGCTGGGCCTTAAGTGATGAAATACTAAACACAATCACCTACTGCAAATGGGAACATTTGGGCATGTCTCTTGTGTGTTGGCTGAAGCGAAGCCAGAGGGCAATATGGACAGAGCCGTATCACTTTGATTTCAATTTTAGGTAAGGTTAAAATTTTTAACTTGATTGTGGTCAAAGTGTCGTCCAAGAGAATCGGATGTTTTCAATCAGCTGTCTCTGAACAGAAACATAAGAACATGGTGGGGTGGGGGCACAGAGGACCAGACAGGTCCTGTCACATGTGGCTAATGGGCTTTAATGAACAGACAGGCGAGCCTGAAAGCAGCACTAGCACCAGCTAATATGATCAACTCTCATTGCAACAATGTCACCGCAAATATTTCTGATATGCAAAAGAAGCAGGGGATCAAAGATGCTAAGCTGCTCACTTTGCTCCAGCAACTTACTCCTTTCCTCATCTTCTTCTTCATCCTCTATTCTAAAAGTCTGAAACAGAGCGCGTAAATCCTGAGGTCTGCCTCAGGCCACCACAGCTGCTGCAGTTAACAGCATAATGAAGGGTGGTCGCGGGAACGGCCTTGGTGTTCATCATATTCACTACTTCCAGTAGTGCAGTGACAACATACTTCTGTTGATGAACCCAGATGTGTAGATTCCATAATATAGTGTCAGCGCTTTTTTATATTTACACATATTCATAGGAGTGTAAAATGTCATTACACAGAAACCATTTTTATGCCTCTATTCACTAAACCCTAAACCTCTGCAGTCATGTACAGTATAGTGCTGGTTTCATTGGGCCATTGTAAGTAATGCTGCTAATCAATAATTAGGACTAATTGATGTAAATATTGGGAATTTCATGTGTTTTGCTTCACTGTGATTAAGTACCCTGACTTGTTAGGTATTGTTTCACTGGATTAGCCATGTTTCCAGAAAATGTGGTGTAGTCTATCATATTGAAATATAAAATGAAAAAATATGCAAATATTTAATCAATCACAGGTATTTTTATAGTGTTTCCAGATTAATTTGTTGGCATTGTAGCATGGAAAATATGACACTATTGCACTGGTTTCTGAAATAGATGTGTTAGACACTCTGGAATCACAACCTGATGACGGTTTTATGGTTGTTTAGAGATGTTCTAAGTCACCTCGACATGAGACGAAGATTAGAGCTGCAGTTAAAAATTATATTAAAAGAAGGTACTCTAAATATTTAACAAAGAGCCAGTGTGATGTCTTCAAATTGCACATTCAGTTCGACCCACAGTCCAAAAACTGTCAGATTAAAGAGGAGAAAAAGCCAGATGCTTGGACTGGAAAAAATAAAATGAGGAATTTTTAGGATTTCCGATCAGTTATCATATATACTGTATATGTGTGTTTGTGTGTGTCCCTTTAAAAATGTGTATTTCTGGTGTGAGGCAGCAGGGGGAAAAGGGAGGTTAATCCTAGTTTAATACACTGATGCATAGCCCAGGACCAAGGCTGTGATGATTGTGTTATCTCAAGCCAACATTTGGGTCTCCCTCAATTTCAGCCCAGCATAATAGCTAGGAGAAAGTGCAGAAGGAGTGGAGTAAGTGTGGATGCCCAGGGAAAAATGTTAACAGCTGCAATAGAACTTGCCACACTCCGTGCTCTCCGTAAAGCTAAAGCAGCTTCCACTGGATTTGTTTGAAGTGCTCTCTCCAGCGTCAGTGCCAGCCTGCTTTTCTTTCAGCCAGGCTTATTCTGAACTCCAAAACTTACTGTTTTCCCCCTATACAGTAGGTTATGTATGTTTGGTAAACAGTATATTGACTGCAGATAAAAAAGACTTTGCCTTGTCATTGTTAATAATAAGCTCCTAACAGACAGAGTACAGTATATGGTTTGACCAGATCAGACAGCTATCTGACTGTAGCCTCAGAGGTTATCTGCTCTATCGAGATCTAATATATTAAAAAACATTTCATGATATGTATTCTAGAAAATAGCACACATGAAACATATACTGATTATTCTGCAGCTTTCCATATTTTTATTTCCTAAACATCAACATCATTATGAAATAGGCTATACAGCAGAGGCATGTACTGTAAAATATACATTCATGTGTGGTCAACTCTTATGCATATGTCAGTTCTGTGGAAAAAATGCAGATTGAAGAGTTGAAAAGTATGTCTGAGATCTTAGTTAATAATTAGCTAAAAATAAATATTTAATTATAAACTTATTGTTTTGTGTTGGATTACAATACCACTGACAAATGTGAATGTATTATGTAGTCTACTGTATATCGCTATATATTAATAGTAAACTAGCTCTTCTGATGAATAATGAGAGTAAATAGGAGTCATCCACGTGTTTGTCTCAGTCACAGCAGCACTCCATTACAATCTGCCAGCATGCCACTAAAAACAATGCCATAAAAGCAAATGAAATGAATATTTTAAAATACAATCTAAACAACAGGAGAGGAAACCTTAAAATCTCATGAATTTGCGCTGCAGGCTTCACACCATGAAGTGAGCCGCTCAAAGATGAAAGTAAAAAGAAATAAAAGGCTCAGTTTAATCTGCTTTAAAGCCCTTCAACAGGACGCATGTGCCTGGAACTGTAAGAGTGAGAGCTGATAGGGGATAAATATATTTCTTACCATGCCTTCAAGCTATTACACCCCTCTCCAACACAGATGCCTATTCAACAGACACCGGTTTCATTACCAGCTGTAATAGGCAAAGTCGTCAAATGATTAAATGCCAGATCTAGTTGACACAAAGACACTAGCAAGGCTGAGCTTTTGAAATCGCCTACATGGAACAGCAGATGGAGGACGGGGGACGGGGGGTCTCACCAGTCACAGCACTGGTCAGAAAACACTACAGGCCTTACTTCTAATTAACAGACAGTCTGACGCTGCCAAAATATCAAATATTCAAACTAGGCCTACAGGACACACGGCAGTTCCTGTGCTTTGAGTGTCCAGCACAGTCCAGTTCAGGAATGGAAAATCTCCCAAAACACAGTAAACACAAAATAGAAAATATTTTATCAACTGTATAAATGTCTATAAACACAACTTAAAACGATCATAAATAGATATAGTATAGGTGGTTCAATGCTAAATGAGGTCTCAACTGTATAATTGCAATGTGAGAGAAATAAGCCAAATGTAAATCTTAAACTCCATCCTTTGTTCTCTTACACATCAAATTCAATTGTTTTAAAATGATTACTTCTACTTAGCCTATGCTATATTTCAATAAAATCTTACTGTAAAACATTAAAGCGGGTTGTGGACTGATTTTTAAATTTTAAAAAGGTATTATAATATAGACCATATTTGTTGTTCTTCTTTTCTACTGCAGTATTCGATTTGATGAATTTCATTAATATCTGGGCCTATGTTATTGGGCTAGTTCATCCATCTCTTTCAGGTCTCTATTGCACTTAACTGTTTGTATGCCTCCACCGCCAGTCCAGTCTTTTCTGAATTTGTGTCAAGGCCAGTGAACTTGACGTCTATAGACAAAGCTGCTAAACAGTCGCTGTGAGGTCGCTGGCCCCTGGCTGCTGTGTGCCGCCTGGTCCCTGTCAGACCGCATGTAATTGATATCGACTGCCACATCGGTCATCTGTCAGCATCGCTTTCAAGGGAGCGTTTAAGCAGCACCACAGGAGCCCGATCCACTCCAGCGCTCCCTATCATAAACAATTAAGCGGCCGCTGTGTCTGCTGGGAGAACAGCTTAAAGGAGGAAAACCGGAAGCGACAAAACGCCTACTTAGGCCCAATTTGTACATAATTAATCAGCTAGACAGTATCAAAACAGCAGCTGTGTTCTCCTCTGGCCTACCTTTGTCGCCGAGAATACCGTCGATGCTGTGTTTCGTTTTCTTTTCTCCATCTTCATCCTTTTTATCACACTCATCCTCATCGTCCTTTTTTCCAAAGCGAGCTCGCAGGACACGGCTGATAGAACTCACTGCTAACGAATGGTCTTCTTTTCCCATTTTCAACATTGTCATTTGAATAGGAAATAGGTGAATATGAAAACATTTTATTAAATGTGGCTTACCAGAGGAGGCCTCACCTGAAGGGACTGTACTTCTGTCACACACACCGTCCTTCAGCAGCTTATCCCGTATCTCCCAGCTGAACATGCCGGGGTTGTCCCGCTTGTATTCTTCTATCCGTTTTTCCACGTCCGGGGTGGCCACCTGCTGCAGGTGGAACGGAGTGACCAGGAGAGACACAAGAAGAAGTATTGCAGTCTGCTGAAATCTCTAGGCCGTAAACGTGTCACAAAAATTAAGAAAGAAGAAGAAGAAGAAGCAGTGGGCCTATGTGAAAGAACACTCAAACTTTAAACTAAAAGTGTCATTAAACTATAAATAAAATAGGGTATGCCCTATAATTTACAACTCTCATTTGGGTCTATCATAATAATAATAATAATAATATTGTTGTTGTACCCTGGGCTTGCTGCCTCCTATTGCTCCGGGCCGGATGGACCCGGTCTCCTGGTAGCGGCAGAGGATCTTCGAGACGCAGCCGTGGGAGACCCGCAGCTGTCGGGAGATGACGCAGGGCCGGATCCCGTGGTGGGCCATCTCCACGATCTTGTGTCGAATGTGGTTGGGCAGCGGGCGGCCGTTAATGAAGACCCCTCCAAGCTGGTTAACCCGTCCCTGGCCCAAAGGAGTGGACACTGTGGACGACATAAGTTCACATTCAGCGTGGAAGCTCTAACATATCACCGCAGGCAGGAGAAGAAATAAATTAAATTGGTTTTCTCTTGACACTTTGCTAATATGGCCTATTACCTACTATTCTATCAGTTATTCACTCGTGATACCAGCGATAGGCCAAACAAATTAAATGTTTTATTAACGGACGGCCCGTCCCGGTTCCATCTGACCCTGAGGAGGAGCCGAGGATCCCCCGCTGTTCTTCTTCATCGGGCTACTCATTTTGCTCTGTCCAAAAGGCTGTTGATATAATCTCCTATATTTCTCCTTACTGTTTTGGGTTTGAGATGAAGCGTTGGACACTTTAACTAATTCCACATTTTGGTCAGAAACTCTCTCTAGACTTGGGATTTAGACTCATTTTAAAATGAGTGGCAAAATAGTAAGTGGATAATGAAATGAACTGTACCTAACCGCAGAACCCTAGAATTTTAATAACCTAACAAAAGTAGCCTATGTTCAATATTTTAACAAAAAACTACCTCTAACAGAAGTCAAGGTCTTGGGTACGCCGTTTGTTCAGCTAAAGGTCCTCATGTTTAACCTGGCATATTTTTATGTTAAAACCGAGCTCTCACGTTTTCAGTCTCTCAAGCGTCAAAGGCCCAGCAGGCTGCTCCGCGGCTCCTACCTTCCAGAGGGAATCCAGTGCGGGGATAGGTCTGGCCGGGAGCCGCGCGCATCATCCGCGGTATCGTTCCTGGCAAAGACGACATTGTAGGCTACCATAAAATAGTTACGAAAATAAAACAAAAACAAACAAGACGAAGTTTTTCTGGATGTACAGTGCAAGTGTGGCCGTGTTGGTCACAGGTGTTGTGAAGGTAGAAAATGCCTGAGAGATCCACTGTGCGGCGGAGGAGGAAAAACAAAATTAAATATCAACATTAAGTCTCTGAAACAGTCGCAATAACAGGGCGCAGGTTGAGACGAAATTCGCCCGGAAGCGTTGTGTGTGCGGACCGATTCCAAAACGTGTTTACAAATCACAAGAGCTGATGGATTTATTTAACCGGTGTGAGGAGGGATGCACTATTCTGCCAATGTCCCGGACAAATCTGGACCAGGCGGGCTTGAGAAGGGGGGACGGGACGCGAGCAGCCATAGGTTCTTGGAGCTTTCTCTTATTTGAGAGGGAAACGCGCCAACAACTTTTTGCAGCCAATGAGAATGACAGGGTACAGCCCCCCCACCCCCCCACGCCTAACTCCGCCTGATCAATATAAACTCAGAGTCTAATGATTGAGGCGATGTGTGAAAATGTGGCAAATGTTAGAAGTGCTCACCTTACATAAAGGGAGTTTACTGATTTTGGGCCAGAATTCCCTGTCTGTGAAATATAATAATATAGTATAATGTTTTCTGAGACTCTGGTGCAGCTTTATCGCATTTCAGTGTTGGGGAAACTACCTGGGGAAATGTAGCTTTGCAAATTATTAATTATTTCACAGCGAAGAAGTTAAACTACAGAAAAGCCACTCTAGAGAGAAATGTAGTTTGGTAAAATAATCTTATATAGAAAAAGTAGCTCAAACTACAGTATAAAATAAAAAAAGATTAAATTGACAATGTACATGTGATACAAAACTACAACATAATAAAAGTTAGTTTTTTGTTTACATGAAAAAAAAACTGTCCTAAATAAAACAATTCCATCTGGACATTTCACAATATTATTATTCAGTTCAGTTTTATTTGTATAGCGCCAAATCACAACAAAAGCAATCTCAGGACACTTTACAAAGTAAGATCTAGACCTTACTGTTATCAATATTATTATAGAGGAAAACCCAACAAATTCCCCTTGAGTAAGCACTTGGCGATAGCAGGAAGGAAACTCCGTTTAATGGAAGAAACCTCCGACAGACCCCAGCTCTTGGTGGGCGGCCTTCTGCTTTGACCGGTTGGGGTGAGTGGATAGAGGAAAGAGGAGAAAAGAAAAGCAACAAGACACAACAAACAATCAAACACTGGGCAGGTTGATGTGGCCGGTGACTGCTCATCAGAAACATACAGCTCCAGAGCCAGGGCAACCTGCAGAAAGGTACAGGGAGTGAGGGAGAGGACACTCTATGGGAGAGAGGAAACACACCATTATTGACATGTAATGCTTGCACATAGATGCATGGAGGGAGAGGAGAGGGGAGGAGAGGAGGGAAACTCAGAACATCATGGGCCCCCCAGCAGCCTAGGCCTATAGCAGCATAACTAAGGGAAGGCTCAGAGTCACCTGATCCAGCCCTACCTAGCTTTATCAAAAACTAAGGCATGACACTCTACATTTTTCATTAAATGGCATTGAATACAGTATAATGTGTTATAAACACAGAATTGATTTTTCATTGGCTGATCTGGGGTGCAGCACAGAGGTGAAATACCATTTCTGCCTCAGTAAGGAGATGTGGTTGAGGTCATTTGCTATGATTGACCAAGTACAAATAAACCTGCAAACTTTATAACTTCAAGTGGAATAACTTTATAAAACACAAGTCCTAAAATGTTGTTGGTAATTTAAGAATAAACTTTATTTATATACTGAGGTAGATCATGGTTAAAAGAATGGTAAAAAGAGTATTTTGCTGACACAAGCTCTTCCCCACCCTGGACTGTCTTGTCACAGAATCTCCTGCACCCATGTCTGTTGGATGTTCAGATGGCACACACATATATTTGGTTTGTGATAGGGAAGTATTTAGTTTTAAAAAAATTGACTTTGATATTCGAAATAAACTAGAAAATATTAGCATACAAATATACCAACCCCAATTCCAATGAATTTGGGACATTGTATAAAACGTAAATAAAAACAGAATACAGTGACTTGCAAATCCTTTTTGACCCATATTTAATTGAATACAAGATATTTAATGATCAAACTGATAAACTATTGTTTTTTGCAAATATTCACTCATTTTGAATTTGATGTCTGCAACATGTTCCAAAACAGTTGGGGACAGGGGTATTTTTACCATTGTGTTACATCACCTTTTAACAAAAGGGGAAGAGAAAGCCTTTTCTTCCTTTTGAATACCGCTGCCCAGGACGCTAGTTCAGGCAGATTCTGATCATTTATACAGTTCCACTGCAGACAAGGACATCCCACACAGGTTCCAGAGTGGCTGGGGAGCCATCTTGGCTGAGGAGCTCCAAACCAAGACCCATAGGTTTGGACTAAGCCCTGAATGTTTACAATGTCTGGCTCAGCCAGTGAGTAGGAGTGTGAACTCAAATCTCAACAGAACATGAGGTCTAAAAGGTTCATACTATATATACAGTTGCCCTGAAATGTTGCCTTTGTCACTTTAGAATGTTACAAAGTGGCTACCTTGATTCTGAATGAAGGTGGTTGTTTTCAGTGGTCAGTGATATTATTCCCCCATCTGCTGGCCAAACCATCAAATAAGCCAAACTGCTGCATGCCGTGGTAATAAAATGTGCTTTGAAGGTCATGGACAGTGGTAGGATGTAACTAAATACTTAAGTACAATCTTAAAGCAGTTTAGTTAAATATTTCCATTTGATGTTATTTTAGACCTTTATTCCACTATGCAAGATGGTGCCTGCCGAGGCAGACATGTTTGCGCTTTCCACTCTTGAATGCCGGCTTTTTCTTTGTTTTCTTCTTTTTTGCGTGTTTACTTTTTCTGCAGTGCACAAATGTCATGCACTGCTAACATACAACAGACAGGCATTGCTGGATATCGTTAACTCACAATGCCCGGGGGGTGAGAGAGTGAGAATGAGGACTCAAGGTGCAAACTCAGGTGCAAGTGCTGAACTATTTTTATTGAGAACACAAACAAAGTCACTGAGTATATGTATAGTCCAAAACCAGGTGAAAGCAGTGGAGGCTGAGGAGACCAGGATGGGCAGGTAAATAGACAGGAGAAGTGCAGGAACCAGGAGAGTCAGAGGACCAGGACAGGTAGGTGAGTAGACAGGAGAACGGCAGCGGGTGAGATGACAGGAGGAACACAGGAACCAGAAGACAGGGCAGGTGTAGCTGTAGCACTCGCCGTCAGGTACCTAGGGCTGGAAAAATCACCATCAGGCACTCACGGTAGGGGAAGATTGCTGGAGATAATCACGGCAGGGGAACACTCGCCATCAGGCTAACAGAGAAAACACTCGCCAACAGAGAAAACACTCGCCATCAGGCTAACAGAGTAGATCGCCAATGGGTGTGGCTGCATCTTAAAATAAAAACTTCATCTCACCGTAAATGCCACCGCTATCATCACAGTCATTACATCACCATATCCATGTCAGACCGTGACAATGATTTGGTGACGAAGGAACGACTGCCAGTGCTTTATGTAGGGAGGTGTGTGATTATGGGACGAGCCTCAGCTGTGTACTACAACAGGGAGTGAATCAACGGGTGAATGTGACTCAGCTGTGTCGCTGAGCCCCCGGGACGAGAGAGCAAGTGCACAAATGTCATGCACTGCTAACATACAACAGACAGACATTGCTGGATATCGCCAACTCACAAAGTCACTGGGAATTTACTGGTTTCATACCACCGGAGCTACAACTCATTGTCTGCTCCCGCAACAACAACAACAACAACAACAACAAAAGCAAAATCTGACAAAACACCGGTGTTCTGTCAGATTTTGCTACCTTTCAAGACATGCTACCCACCGTTCACAAAGTGGTTAGGGTTAGGGTGATGGATTGGGGCGGGGTTAGTCAGTCCATAGATTTTGCAACAAAGTAGTATATCTCGACAAGGTAGCAAAATCTGACAGAACACCGGCCTCATTATCTAGCAAGAGAGCATAGTGTTGTGTTTCTGGCTGCTGTGTACGTTAGCCCAAGAGCTAATCCCTCTGCGGCTCTTGGCAAACTCTATGATGTCGCTAGCTCACCCCGATGCAGTATTTATCGCTGCAGGCGACTTTAACCAGTGCAATTTACGGACCATACTTAAACTGGAAAACGGGTCAGCGCACTTCCGCAGAACGCGGGTAACACAACAGTAGTAACGCAAAACACATTCTTTGAGCTCGTTTTATTTGATTGGTTCGTAGATAATAACAAAACAAAAATGTCTTTTTCAAGACACAAATACCAGAAGTGGGATCATCCAAAAAGTGATTTCTGCTGCGTACCTCAATGCGCAATGTCAGGGAAGTTCAATTCAGCCATAAGCTTTCACCATTTCCCTATGCTGAGTATGTGACCGGGTAAATTGGCACCTGTACTGACAACATTGTGCCCACCATACAAGTCAGGAGGATCCCCAAACAGATGCCCTGGATAAACAGTCAGGTACGTTGCTCACTCTCATGCATTCAGATCGGGCGATGAGACGGAGTACAAAGCTGTGAAGTACAGACTGAGGAAAGCCATCACAGTGGCCAAGAGGCAGTACAGAGAGAAGCTGAATGGCATCTATTCTACTGCTGACTCCGGACGAATGTGGCAAGGCCTGCAGCACATCACAGACTACACGACCACCATCAGCTCCATTTTTTTAGCCTGTATATATTGTGTATTTATTTTGTTTTTATGTTGTGCACATTGGGGGCCATTGAGCTGGAATCAAATTACTTGTGTTCTTGTAATACTTGGCAATAACGTTCTGCTTATGCTTAAAATATCAATAACATTAGCTAGTTAGCTTACGAACTAGCTTAGCTACATCTCCGTTTGTAAGATAACGATACATAACTCTGCCTTCGTAGTGCTGGATGTATGAAGAAGCATATAGCTTAAACCCCTTATCCAGCCTGCTGCCCAGTTTTTTAGACGTGCAGGGTGCGTAGGAAAGATGCCTCCATCCTCAAAGACCCCACCCACCCTCAGCACGGACTGTTTATACCCCTATCCTCTGGTCAGAGGTGATCAGAAGTGTGAAATGCAGGACCTCTAGACTGAAAAACTCTTTCTTTCCCTCTGCCATCAGACTTCTAAACAGCTGACTCAGGATCTACCTCATGTAATCCCATCTGTACTCTTTGCATAATTGCACACTCACTGCTGAGTATTTGCACCCCACGGCTCCCATGTAGCATATATACGTAGGTA